AAATGTTTTTAAATCCTAGTGAATTCGAGAATATAATTATTTTCATGATTTCCAAACCTTAGATATTTTTTTGGCCATTTCGACAAAGATTGTCCCTAAATGCACTATATTTTTTTCTGTATTATTCATGTTTGGAGTTGTTTTTTGGGGGAGGGAATTCTACATTGTTTCACTTTCGTAATATACAAAAGCACAAATCCATCTTTTTGAGTATTGTACATCTCAAAGTTTTTATCTGAAAGGATTCAAGAAAAACTTAGAATCAGATTTATGTGAAAAATTTATTTCAGTGATTTTTCGAGTCACATTTACAGCTAAGCTTTACCCAAAATCTATTGAAAAGTATCAACAATATATAATCTGGATACACATGGAATGTATCTGGGGTCCCAGGATGTCCAAAATTTTCAAAGAGTTAAATGATATCATCTTCCAACAAGTTGACATTACTTGAATCCTAGTGTTTAATTGTGGGTAAACTTGAATCTCTGATTTCAACCATAATTTTCATGCAATAAATTCTGAATACACACTTTCCGTCAATTTTGTATATGAAGTGGTTTAATGTTATTTCCCCCAAAGTTAAACGATTCCTTTCAAATTTCTACAACCCAAGGTGAGCCACATCAATGGCAGAATACCCTACTTGCAAAAATGGTGACGAGGTTTAGGAGATATTGTCCTCAGTTCGTGTCAAGATTGACAGAAATTTGCAACTTTGCAAAGTTGTTTCTTTCCCGAGAAGTCACAATTTTTTAGATAGGTGTAAAAATTTAGCATGTTTTTTAGGAAAAATAATCATTAATTTTCCAGAATCAGGGACTTCTAATGTGTGTATTTCCAATCCCATTCTGATATTTGATTTCTACTACTTTGTAAACAATGCATATTAGAAAAAGTTTCACTCTTTTTTGTAATGCCTTACTTTTACACTTAAGTATTAATTTAAAATTATAGATAAAATTAAAGGGATAATATTTTTTAAAATGCAAAAATTGAATGAATTACTTACACTTAGAAACTTCGCAAGTTTCTCTTCTAGAAATTCATATACATCAGTGTTTTGAACTTCATCAAATTGATTACTGTGAATCTAAAAAATATCAATACACAATTTTAATAAAAAAAAACAACAAATTTGACAAAAACAAATTTTGTGTGATTTACTGGCTTAATGACTTCCTACATACTACCAATACTTGATGATCCATATTTTGCAGAAGGCGGAGCTTTAACTTCATTAGTCCATGTGGTTTGTGCGTTTCATGCAAACACACTGTTGAGTCTAGGACTTCAATGTGTAATATTTTTCTGAACATAAATGTTTATAACATAATTCCAATTGATGTGTCTAAAATATATTAGCATAACAGTGCTTCACCAATGATAATTACCCTGAAGGAGATGTTACAGTAATACCAATAATATTTAAATTTGGTATATAGCAATTACAAACTGCATTCAGTTTCATATGATATCCCAAATTTGTTACTGCTGTAAATATTTGTTTCAGGAAGATTCTTTTTTGTAAATGTTTCTTCTGTGCTTCTCGAGGGATAATATTTTTCATTGTCCACTCATTGTGTGCACTACTGAGAAGAGCTGGCAATTCTATTTGAATACAAGTTAGAAGAAGGGAAAGTCTTGTTTGAATTCGAAAGAGATTTTTTTCTGCAAAGAAAATCTTTAATTGGTTTCTGAAAGCACTAATAATCAGTTTGAAAATATATTAAAGGACTGAAAGAACTGTTTTCTTAATACAAGTAATTACCAGGAATAAAATAACTCATCAACCACCAAGGTAGTTTTTACATTACCTTTCAGCACTCGCATAAAATCTTCATTAATAGCATCCTTGAATAATTCACCTTCTCTTACTCCCAAACACCACAATGAAAGGAGGCTGCCTAATATATGTTCAGGGATATTTAAATGATGTTTTTCTTTGATAGATCTCTGCAATTCATCAGTCATTTCTTTCAGTTCATGACGTGAAAGATTGTAGCCAAGGTAACTCACTGCCCATAGAAATCTAGAAATATCCTTTATACGAAGATATGAATGATGTGAACTTGAAGTAGATGCTAAATGGGCATCATGAATACATGATTGAATTAATGAAGGAATTAATTTTTTATTGTCGTATAAAGCATCAGCATACAAGGCTAAAATATGGACTTTAGCTGTAAAGTTCATTCCAAGAATTTTTTCAGGATATTTATCACTTGCTATTTTATCCATAATGTTGAAGCTATAAAACTTTGCTAACCTAAGAACTTTCACAAAAGTAACTATATATGCTGGATCAGTTACTATTGTTTCAAAATTCCTCTCCACTGTTTTACAAATGCACTGTAACAAATCAGCTGATCGTATTGGTACACTACATTTAAATGATGAGACACACATTATACACAATTCATCCAGAGACAGCAAATTTCCATACCTATCAATTTCATTTAAACATTTTTTCATTAAGTTTTGAGATGATTTGAGTTTCTTGGACTGTCCAATATAAAACATAACATATACTAAAAGTTCCAGATTGTTATTCCTTTTTGTAAGCCATAAGGATACTATATGCATGAATTCTTGATAAAGTTTTGTAGACATTGTATTTCCCTGACAGATATTATGCCATTCATGAATACATTTAAGGACACTTTCTTTTTCCATGCATGGTAGTTTGTGACTGAATATATCATCTACCATCAACAGAACGTATTGGAAGTCTTTAGAAGAAATAATTTGTCTCTGGGTACCTAAACTATGTAAGAATGATGGCATTTTGGCTTTAGGTACATTGTTAATAATCTGTTCTAAAGGCAAATTTTTACTCAAGGAGGTTTTAATAGGATAGGTTTCTTTTTCGCTATCATGAACTATATAAGGTCTGTATCTATTTTCGTTTTTGAAGAAATAAATAAATCTGTCTTGTAAGAGAGAAATTTTTGTACCCACATTACCACAAAGTAGCCTACATATTTTGACAGATATGTTGGTATGCAAAATTACAAGAGATAATTGTTTGGTAATCACTTTACAGAACATGTTAGATTTGGTCTAGTAAGTCAAATGAATTACAGCTTTTCAACACTGCACTTTTTAACACACAATATTACACCAAAATTGCAAATCTTCCAAGTTTCTCGTAAATGTCACATTCTTTAGCTTGTCAAAGCGAATCAAAATACTCGCGCTTCCAATCCTTCCGCGAATCTGCACCGATCAGCTGCTGATCATTACTTCACCCCCGATCTTAACGTCTCATGCTCATCTTAACGTCTCTAATCATCCCTGCCGCGTTTTCCACATTCGAGCAGTTATTCACAATCTTCACGAACTTCACAAGCAAGAAAGTGTAAACAAACAGTGTTGGTACCCTTGTTTGTTGCAAATGTTTGGATAGTGTTGCCCGATCTTGTGGATAAATTTTCTAGATTATAAAAATATTTTGAAATATCGAAAAAGCACAAATATATTTTATTCACCATATCCAGAAATAAGTTCTGGAATCGAAAAATAATTATCTGGGTTTGTCAGTATTTAATGTATGAAACTTTAGTTGGCTATCCGTTCATCAGCTGATTGGTTTCAAAAGTGACGTGTGACGGGATCGTGCACGACGAGGTTAGTGGAGAAGGATTCAAGAATGTTTGGGAAATTTTATTCATTGAACACATGAAAAGACTGCGATTTAACGTCACATTTTCGGACAACAAATTAATATGTGGATTGAACATTTTTGACCCGTCTGAATGTGAGAATTGTAGCGCGAATTAAACGTCAACTCCACGCAAATGTTATTTTGGTAAGTTTTGGTTAGAATAAAGTTCCAAAATTATGACGATGTAAGATGGTTAATGCTTGTGCAATATTAGTCTTAATTTTCCTACTTTCATCTTTCGTATTTCTGTAATATATTTCATGTTTTGTGCGTATATTTTTTTAAAAAATAGGCTACATGTTGCCATTCTGTTTTAATGGTAACAATTTTATTGTACTGCACCTTTAGAATGCAGATCTATTATTGGATTTGACTGTAGTATGTCATATCATATTGAACTGTTTTATGTGTAATCAGTAATGTAAGTTGTAACAAATGTTTTATACTGTACTAAATGAGCAAGTTATGAAGTCTTATGAAGTTTTATGAAGTCTTCATGGAGCACTAATATCTTATGTAGGCTACATGTAGGCCCAATTGGATATTACCTATTTTTTAATGTGTAAACCGTGATTGATAAGTGTGGAAAGAATATCACAGATGTTTCTGAAACAGCTGTTAATGTGAAAGATGCCATTTCATGAGAAAAAATATTAAGATTTGTTACTCTATTATGTTGAGACAAAGCTCAAATTTGAAGACTTTCTACTCTTTAAGAAACACTTTTTTAAAATCTCTTTTTCATGAATAATATTGACATATGCTGGTGTGCCCAATGACAACAGATTATCAAATTTAGTTGATTAAGTGGCGAAGTCTTTTCATTTCTGTTTGAATGAGTTGCGAATGTACAAGCCTGCCATCTAGTGTGGAGAAATGTCACTTCGTACGGCCGCATTTAAATAGAGAGCTCCCGGGAAGTTGCCCCAGTAGAGAGGCAACTATCGCAGCGGGTGTTCTGTCATGATCGTCTCAATTTGACAGATTCACACTTTTCAAGTATTCGTTGTTTTTGAAGTTCAATTAAAAATATTGTAAATAGTTTTAATTGAATAATAGGTACAATAATTTTGATTATCTACTTTCAACGAGTACGTTCTAAATATCTTTTGTATTTTCAGTTTGTGAAACAATATAATAGTACTTGAAGATGGCTGATGATACTCTCAATGATGTGCTTATTGACCGCCTCAGGTCGTTCCTTTCAAAACCGAATGAGAATCTGGATGGTATCAGATCTGCGGCAGCTAGACTACACAGTCGCTGCGCATCTCAAGGTGAGTTCTACTACTATTTTTTTTTCTGAACACACTATATACTTTGTTAAGTTCTGTTACTTTTCTAAAATCGATTTTAATTTTGTAGGATATACTTCAAGCATTTTGGTTGTGTGAATCTTTGTATTATGAAGAATCTTAAGTAATGATAACTTTTCAACAGGATTTATTTGCTGAATTGCATCTGATGTTAAACAGTACTTTTTTTTTTAAATTTTCATACTATGGGGGGATAAAATTGTTTAATAAGATTATAGATTTATCTGTGGCGGGTTTAACGGTAAGCGGCCACGTAGGAAACCGAATTTCGAAACGTTCTTTTTTACAAAAATCCTTTTGTTAACAATGCAAGTGCACTTTCTAGGACCCAAATGGAATTGAAATAAAGATTTCCTAATGGATTTGAAATAAAATTGAAAGAATAAATGACATCGGTAGATAATAAATGTATCAAACTATTAGATCCAGATATAAGTTCTGGAACCTAAAAATAATTATGAATTTGTCAGTATTTAAAGTGCCTCGTACATTTCAAATACTGAAATGTTAGTGAAGCTTTTTCTATCCACTTCCTCATCGAATGCGCCCAGAGAAAGATCATTTTAAGCATTGAAGAAGTTAAAAAAAATATTGAAGGATTGCAATGGGAGAAGAAAACGAAATAACTTGGCAATTTTGAATGATTGCAATGGGAGAAGAAAACGAAATAACTTGGCAATTTTGAATATAGAGCAGCGACATTTTAGCATCCTTCACAGTGCCAAAATAACTGATAATTTTCAAGTAATAAAGTAAGTTCGGAAATTCATGAAAAATTTCTTCGAGTGGAAGCTAGGCTGTCCGGGTGAGGCCGCGCCGAGGACTGTTATGCCATGTTTCGCCGTTTTCGAAGTGCGTCTTCAGGGCACAAGAGCCCTGAAGAAGACCACTTCGTGATGGTCGAAACGTCGGCATCACTGCCCTCAACGCTGCGTCACCGGGACATCAGAGTGCCTTCGCATGACTGGCCGCGGAGTCCTACGGTAGCAATTATTTTTTCATCGAATTCATTTAATACGAGACCGTTTGACATTTTCCCTTTTTTGTTAGTACGTACAGGAGTTTTCTTGTCACTTCTATTTTTGTCATGGATTTCAAGCCTTCATAATGTTTTTCGTTTGGTATTTCCATTTGGGCTCGAGTTTTCTTACTTAATAAACTTGATATACTTGAATTTTCGACCCAAAAACATGTTGCCGGGTCCTAGTTGTGAAAAGTGGATAAATCTTGTTCATATATTTAGTACATTATTTCCTCTAACTCGTTGCCGAAAAATCGGTTGTCGGCAAAAGTCTGACTGTGGTCAATGCTAGCGCCAAAACGGTTCAGCCGATTTTCCCAGAAATTGGTATTCTTTGTTCGATATAAAGGAACTCGAAGCCCTAGTTTGAAACGGATGTTTTGATTTTGGGAGTACTTTATTTGGCTTGTCTCTCACCTTGTTAATATTGAGATTTAATTGTGGTGCAGTGGCGATTTGTTCACATTATTATATTTATGAGTACATGTGCTTTAAATAACGTCATATGAAGTTTCTCGAAAAAATATACCAGATTCTGGGAAAACTAGCTAAACAAATTGCATATTCAGAAACGGTCAAACGCCATTTTCTGTTTTTAAAATGGCTGCAAATTTTTTCTTTCAACTTTTCCAACGTATTGTGCTAATTGCACTCTTTACTATTACGTAAAATTCATTTCGGTTTTTGTTTTCAAAAATTACACATATGTAATTTTTTGAAAGATTTCTCACGCCATTAATATGCACATTTCCAGCAATTTGTATTTGTGATTTATCGTGTTTCTAATGACTTCAAATCAAGTTTTTCGAAAGCTCGAAAATTTTCTGTGACAAAGAGCTTCAAATATCGAATTTACAGTAGTGCTTAAATGCCATTTCCATAAAAATGGCTCCAAATTTTTAGGACGAAATTGATATTTCGCACGCGGTTTTACTGTTGTTTAATATTCTTAAAATAATATTTGCATTCTAAGTCCTGTTAAGAAGCCGAAAAATTAAGAAACTGTCAAAAAATGTGGTTTGGGCGGCGATATATGGCAGTTGGCAAGAGAGAAAAGCTAGTCGAGACCGAAGGAAATAGAAAAGTCGAAAATACGGCAAAGTCTCTGCCATTCTGTCGCACCAGTAGTTTTTGTATGTGCCTATGTTATTACGGTTACAAGATGGAACTGCAAAAGCGTATCTATCTCGTGCAGCAAGGGTCTGAATTAGCACATGTACACTTCACATTGTATCGAATGAAGTATCTAGATAAAGTCATATCCCTGAGTCACTATTGTCATAATGCTGAGCTCTGCCAGCACGAAGTTCATTGTAGCAGTCGGCGTTAACATTAGTCTCTTACCGGCTCACTTTAGTCCAAGGTGAGCCGCATCACTGTCTCTGCAGTGACTCTGACATAGGGTTACAGTCCCGTCGGTGGCATTCGGATACTATGATTGATATTTTTCCGTTTTTATCAATTCCAGGCGAATTCCGAGCAGTGCCCTAAGAACTGTGCTTCGGATCGCGCGCGATCTTGTCTTTCCCTTCCTTGTCCTGTCTTCTCCCTTCACACACACACACACACACACACACACACACATGCACTACACTACCACATATGTCGGGAAACGAGTTAGAAGCTACAGCTCTTCCCGGCTTGGGCGGTCCCCGAATGGGAGATTCCTGGAGGAGGGAAAACCTCAAGCTTTCGTGTAGGTCGGCGCCGGATCTCACCAAACTGCCGGGAAGGAACACCGCCATCTTCCGCGATAAAACATTCACAACACTAATGGGATTACTGACTATGGAAATTGGCGAACCTGGAAATGTCCATCAAGCCTCCAGTGGATGACGGACACATGCGACGCCCCAGAATAGAGCCCTCAGCGAGATCTGTGTATATTTGCATAGCAGGGTAAACATAGATATATGCCAACAGGAACTTCAGTTCTCCGCGCAGGTTTGCGTCGGCCCAAGGTCATTGTTCGCAGGTGTCTGGCACGTGCAGTCGTACGCCCATTGTGAATTCGATATATGGCACTTCTCCGTCAGCCTTCCTTCGATGACCGGGCAATGATCCCCGTCGTGCCAGCGCGGTTTGACGACACATTTGGTGGTCGCGATACAATACGCCGTCATCCACCTTCGTATTATCAGTGGCTTCTGCATCGCCTTCCAACGGCGTCTACTCTGGTTCGTAGATGAATGGGCGGACGGTATACTCCATTGACCAGCAGCGTACGTGTCTCCCTCAGTTTTCGCGTTTTGTTTCTGACGCAGCCCTAGATTTTTGAGTTAATTGAATGTCACTGTGAAGTATTTTAAGATTTTCAACTTAGCATAAAATTTCCCTTTTATTCCGGCAATTATTTTTTATTATATCACATTAGGTTCTGCTAGTTCTCTGCAAATATTTTAGTATAATAAACCCGCAGTCGTCATCTTCATGAGCACAACGCGTTCCACTAATCCAAGTTTAGGAAAGAAGTCCATTTTTTGACCATCACGCGCAAGTGTGTACGTGCGTACGCCGATGATACAGAGGAACCAGATCCTGCGCATCAAACACGTTCAGATATAACGAATTTCTTAACGTTGCATGTTTAACAATCGACAAGTTCCACCAGTCACCGCAGTAGTGAGCGAATAGGCTTTTCACGATGAGGTTGATTTTTTTCTTGATTAGTTTTATAAAAGGAAGCAGCGTTACGGTATTCAAAATATTGAGTCTCAGAAATTCATTTATGACAAGTAATGGAAAACAAGATTTCAAAGGAAATTATTATACCGTTTTATAAATGCAGTTTCGTGGGTGGACGTTTCTAGGGACGAACGGACCCCGATGACTTCTAGCTCGGCGATCCCGACCGGATTAGGCGGTTCCGCGCATCAACTGGTGTGACTGCAGTGGCTCTGACTGGAAGGTTCTAGGGTTCCAGTCCTAATGTGGCAGGAATTTCAACACTAATGGATAGCTAGGTAGAGTTCAGCCGCTGCCTGGAGGAGAATTTTAGGGGCCGGAAGGGTAGTTTTCTGTGGATTCTCCGATCAGCATCGGGCGAAGAAAATCACCCTAACGAACGGTCCACGGACTGCGCGCGATCTTTCCTTTCTCTCCGTTGCCCTATCCTTACTCCTTGTCTACACATACTTTCACTTACACGCACTACACGACCACACATGTGGGGAGACCAGTCATTAGCGTAGAGCTTCTACCGACTGGAGCGGTGGGAGGCACTGGTTCGGGGAAAGCCCCGCCAGCCGACGTGTGGTCCGGCGCCGGATCTCTCCATCAAAGCTGAAAGGAGGAAGATGACCGTCACCTCCCGCCAAAGAAGCATCCGCAGCACTTAGGGAATAATGACCATAGCAGTTGCCGCACCCGGAAACATTTATTAATCAGCTGATCCTGGAAAAGAAAACAACTTCACAAAACTTGCATTGAAAAGTAAACAATCTCATTTTATATAGGAATATCAGGAAGGTGCACGATTTAAAATTAGAGAACTTCTGCTCTTCGCAACTACAACATGACATAGTGCTACAACATGACATAGTCTTTCTTTTTTCAATTTGTAACTTAGGTAAAATTATAATGAATATATTGCAAATTATATAACTTTATTGTTTGCAACTATCGTGTAAAAATGGCTCTCCATTAGACTACTTGGAAAACAGCGCACCATATTTTCGAAAATTAATTTAAAAGTAATTGTGATTTTGTTGTTGTATAGATGCCCAATAATGTCCTAAATCTATTTATCTCAATGGAATTAAAAATCATTCGTGCCGTAGCAACAATGTTTGGAAGTTTTTTTAGAGACTTCAACTTTCACTGTTACGAATTAATTTTATCGTTCTCTCATTAATTAACACATTTCTGAAATTTAACCAACTTTGCAAATAATAATAGTTCCAGATCTTAATTAGTTTTGTTGCATGTTCATATTTTTTAC